TCCCTAAAGGTATTCATCCTGTGCCTAAAGGTATTCCCATCTGTTCTTTGCACTGTAGAAGGAGTAATCTTTTTAAAATTAAAACTTGATTATGCTTTGTGTCTCCCCTCATATCTTCTTCCCCCAAGCACCCTACTCTCATCATGGATTCTCATTATGCCTGGGTAAAAGATACAGCTCTGATGAGGCCTAAATGTTGGGTGACCATATTACATTATCACCCAGACCAAGATTTGTTGTTGACGACAGGGTGTCTATATGGCCATCCTCCTCCTTCACCCTTCTAGCTGGTATTACATACACGTGCCACTATGCCCAGCTACCTACCTACCTACCTATTTATTTATTTATTTATAGGCAAGGTCTTGCTTTGTCGTCCAGACCAGCTGGAAGTCATGACCTCCTGCCTAACTCATGATCTCCTCTGGGGTCACTGGGCTTACAGGTGCATGCCCCTGTACATGGCTTCTAAGTTGGACCAGAAATCCATAGTTGAACTATGTTTAACTTTGATTTAACAGACACATGAATGAAAAATTATTCGTGGATCATGTATATGGTAATGTCTTTGACTTGATTGATATGTACTGCGTTCATGCTGGGAAAAACCATTTTGTATCCTGTAAAGATGTATAGAAATTAAATGTAAATTTTATAAGGTAAAAAAAAAAAAATCTTTGAAAATAGAGTATAACACTTCAAGTTTTAAGAGTCTCCGGTGTAGTCCCAGCCTGTGGAACAGAGCATCTGAGCATTGTGTCTCACCATGCTGGGCCTAGACCAAGATATTTTTGAGACTAAGAGTCTTTATTATTTATCTTGGGACATAAGGCTTAACCTGGGACTGGCCCTCAGGCAAACTGTGGCAAATGGTTGCAATGGCTCATTAGCAGTCATTTGTCAGCATTTCTTCTGTTACTGTAAAGTTACCTCAGGTTAGGTTTTGCCAACAGATAAATTTGCCACCAGTTGATGGAAGCATTTAGTTTTCAGGGATTTTTCTGTTTTACAGGTTCAGGTAAGGATGTGTGAATCTCTCAGTGAAACCTTGAGCCAATCACTTGTGTTCTTTGTGCATCAGATTCCTCACCTATAAAATGGAAATGATACCAGCATCTAACTACTTCACTGGTTCCATGTCATGTTGTTTTGAGAAATAAATAAGTTAGTACTTGTTAACTGCTTAGAGCAGTTAATGGTCCTTGGTGTTATAAAAGGGTTAGTTCATATCATTTTAATGTCTGTATTTATAATAACCCACACTATGGATGAAACATTTATTTGCAGTTGACTTATTGCTGAATATTTATACTTTAAATACAAAATGTAGTGATGAAGAATGGCTTTATACTTAAATCTTTTCATTACATTTTTAATTACTTAAGGTTAATTCTTTTTTTTTTTTTTGGAGAGGTTTTTGCCATAGGGCACGTGTGCTTGCCAGAAAGACAGAGAGGGACAGAGAGACAGAAAGCGAGAAATCACCCCATGGGGGGATGGCCACCCCGCAATCCCTTCTCCTCCATTCTCCCCTTGGGATCTTGGGCACACATACACACGCATCCAGTGTGAGTTTAAGCACTGGGTCCGGGACTTGAACCGCGCTTGACTACATGGGAGTCAAGTGACATAGCTATTATGCCAATTGCTGGTCCATTTAAGGTTAATTCTTAAAAATGAAATGATAGAGTCAAAGGGCAGGAATATTGAGAATGTTCTTGAAACATATTGCCACAATACTCTTTAGGAAGATTATGTCAATTTACAATCACACCATTTCATTTTTTTAAAGAGTGATATTTGCTATAGGGCATGTGTGCTCACCAGAGAGAGAGAAATTCCCCCCCACCCCCACCCCAGCAGGGGTGGCCATGCCAAAATCTGCTCTCCATTCTCCTCTTAAGATCTTGGGAACGCATACACATACAGTTAGCATTAGTTTTAAGCCACCAGGCCCGGGACTCGAACTGCGGTAGACTATGTGGGAATCCAGTGACGTAACCTTTACACCGTCTGCTGGTCCCTATTGCCGTAAGTTTTATGACACCATGTTTATTATTATTTAAAACAGAATGTTTGCTAATTTCACTTATAAGAATGGCACCTCCTTATTTTAACTCAATTCTGTCATTATTAACATGTTTAAGTGTTAAAAAAAATCTTCCTGTTTGCTGTTAGCTGTTTCTTTTTTGTGAATTGCCAGCACAATCTCTTTGCTGGCTTTTCTTTTTGAATCTCAGCTTTTCTTATGAGCTTTTAATTGTTTGATTTCTGTCTTCTCCAGTCCAGGCAGGAGCCAGCGTGCTGGGCTTTGGCTGGAATTAGTTGGATAAGGTATCCTTGGAGCCTGGGGCGAGTTGTTACTTGCCTGCAGGCTACAGAGCAAGGAAGAAAACAGTGTTTCAGAGGCTGATCTTGGAGAAGGTCTGGAGTCAAGACCACGCTGGCTGGCTGTTTATCTGAACCTTCTGTAAAACAGGACTTGGAAGAAAGGGCATCCAGGTAGGGGGCAAAGGACCATGGCAGACAATGAGAGGCAGAGTGATCCTCAAAACTGGCAGAGGGAAGCTGTAACCTCTTTTTTGTAGGGACTCTACAGTTTCTTGTATGGAGGAAGAGGAGAATGCTGGGGACACTGTCTTGGTCACACAGAGATTTCTGTGAACTCTTGATGGTGTAGGAATATTAACCCTTTGCTTGTCACATGGGGCGTTTCCCCTACCATTGCCTTTTCATTTAACTTACAGCTTTTTGTTTTGTTTTGTTTTTTAAGTGATTGAGTATATATGCATGTGTGTGTGAGGTTGATGGTGGTGGTGGGGAACAGAGAGAGGCAGGAAGAGGGGGAAGGAAGCACCCTCAACAGGGTCTGATCATGCCACAATCTCCTCTCCTCAGCCCTTCAGCTCCTTGGGATCTTAGCACATTCACTAACATGATTTCAGGCCAGCCCAGGTGTCCACGAGTCAGCCGTGTGACTTCCTGCACTGGTCTTGTATGCTGCAGGCTGCACCACTCAGACTGGGCCTACTTCTGATGGCCTTTGATTGATAGAAATTAAAACAACTTTATGTTGCCTGTTTACTTATTCTTTCCTTTATGATTCATTACTTTTATACTTAGCAAGTTCTTTCCATGCAGACACCAATTAGTTATCTACATTTTCTTTAAAAATGTTATTTTGTGAGGCCAGTGAACCAAGAGGTAATAAAAGTAAGTAAAAGAGCCATTGAATAGTGTGATTTCTAATAAAAAACAAAAACAAAAACAAAAAACAAAAACCTAAAAGATATCCAGGGTGATACTTGTGTTATCTTCTTGTCTCCTTGAAGACAGAAGAAAAGAACATATACTTGCTGCAAGGGGGATTGAAGAATGATTTTTCTGACACTGTTTGTTGCATGTTGTCAACTTGTAGAATATTATCCTTAGATACTTTAAGAAGTGTTCTTCTGAAGAGGAGCAGATGTGATCTCTAGAGATTTAAAATTTTTTTTATCCATTCGATCTAATAGAGTATTTCAAGCACTCACACTTGTTAGATAGTGAGAGATAATTTTCCTGTTTTAAAAAAGAGGCTTAAAAAGTAGCAAATGCAACATGTGAGTAATTGATGACTTTATTGGTATTGGTAAATTGTTATACTTTAGGATATGTTTCAAAAATAATTCTTTTGAAACACATTTCAAACATAATTCTTTTTTTTAAAAAAGAAAGAATTTCCATTCTGGGTTAGCCTGTGGCCTACTAGGGATCAAGGAAACTGGATCCCACGTGGGGCTGACCTTAGTTTGAGTCCCAGCCTATTGCGGGGTGCTTCCCCTCTCCCTCCTTCTTCATGGTGAGCACACATACCCTCTGGCAATTAACAAAAGAAAAAAATGAATTTCTTTCTGAACACTTAAAATGTATTAATTAGTGCTGATAATTGTATTCTGCTTAGATGTGTCTTAGGGTGTCAGAATGTGAAGAATGGACAACTTATTGTTAAACTGAATTAATATATCTTTGTTTATTTTGTAATTATTAGTCTTATTTATTATTATTTTAAATATAATATAGGGCATGTGCACTCACCAGAGAGGACAGACAAGGGAGAAAGCAAGCCGCCATGTCCAGGACGCGAACCACAGTTGACCATGTAGGAGTCCAGCACACAATCACCAAGCTGCCTGCTGGCCCCTTCTGAGTTTACGAACTAAAATAAATCATAGTGCACAAAAGAAACTAATTACCTCATAAATCCCTTCAGTTTTATTGAAGTTGTCTTACTTAAAAAAAAAAAGTTATAAGGAGAAGGGCAATAATTTTAATAATTAGAATGTCCTTTGTACATATAATGGACTAGTTATCCTTCTTAATAACCATTTACATACTAGTTCAGTATCAGTGAGGATGTAGTATTACACTAAGAATGAAGTAAAAGAGAATTTCTACTGATGAAAATAAGTATATTTACAAATTGTTACTGATTGCCTTATTTGAAAATTATTTAGCAAATGATATCAACCGTTATAAACATTCATCCCACAAATATTTCTTGGGTGCCTATCTGTTGTGCCAGACACAATCCTAGAAGTGTACCCTATCTTCACTTTTACATTGTATGTATAAAAAGTTTATTTGTAATTCAGTATTCTTTTTTTTTTTTTTTTTTGGAGAGATTTTCACTATAGGGCGCGTGCGCTCGCCAGACAGACAGAGAGAGACATTAGAGACAGAAAGCGAGAAATCACCCCCCAGGGGGGATGGTCACGCCGCAATCCCTTCTCCTCCATTCTCCTCTCGGGATCTTGGGCACGCACGCACACGCGCCCGGCGTGAGTTTTAAGCCACCGGGTCCGGGACGCGAACCGCGGTCGACTACGTGGGAGTCCAGAGACATAGCCATTACGCTAACTGCTGGTTCCCTAATTCAGTATTCTTAACATGAGCTGATGATTATTTGGAAAAACTGGTCATTTAGACTCACACATATCAATACAGGAACTTTTAAATAAAAACCCTCATAGAAAATGTTCAGCCAGGTTGACATATTGGTAATTGGAAGTTCTATTCTGCTGCTTTGTCCTTTTCACAGTGCATGCTTATCTGCAGTGACAGAGCTTATTGGGAAATAATCCATTTACCACTTACCAAAGACAGTGCATCTGAGGCTCAGGTTCTTTCAAGTTTGAATTCTTTCTTATACTTGAGAATCCTTTCAAGTTTATTTGCTGTTAGCAAATCTAATCTAGAGACTCTTCTATCTACTCTAGAGAACTCAGCTTCCAACCAGTTGAGATATTGGGAAGAAAACAAATATGAGAAAAAAAAACTCATGAAAAATGCGTATTATAGAAGACTTCAAAAATTTTTTACACTGGGAAAACTCATAACTTAATCCCATCTTTCCACGAACTTTTTGAAGTCTCCACATGCTTGTCTTTGGATATTTTTCATGGAAATTTAGTTAATTTTTCTCTCACTGCTCTTCATTTTGGTGTTCAGTTTATAACACTAACTTTCAATATTTTTTGTACTTGTTATTATGAAAATAAAAACCGATGTCTAGTAGTGACTCTTAAGTTAATGTCTTATTCAGTTTTCTGTCATGTCTTTTGATGGTACATGTGTTATGATATGTACATTTAGTTTCTTTTTATAGTTGCACCTCACTTTTTAAATTGAGGCATAATTTACATATTACAAAAGTATACAATTAATTTTAGGTGTATTCACAAAGTTGTGCAGCCATCACACCTATCTATTTTCAGAGTATTTCATCACTCCAATAAAAGCAGCTCCACACCCATTATCAATCACCTGTTCTCCCCTCCTCTAGTTCCTGGCAAACATGAATCTACTTCTTCTCTAGATTTGCCTGTTATCAACATTTCATATAAATGAGATCATGTAATATGTGGCCTTTTGCATCTGGCTTAAAATTTTGCCAGAGGGTGCTTGTGCTTGAGAGAGAAGAGAGAAGTGAGAGGAGCGAGGAGAGAGAGACCGATATGTTGTCATCCCATTAGGTGCCATCATCCTAGACAGAGGACATTACAAGCAAAGGAACATTCCATATTGCTAGCAGAACATTGGCCCTACATTTATATGTAGACTCACAATTTGTTAAATTAGTGCTATGGACTGAATGATTATGATCTCTCAAAATTCTTATGTTGAAGCCTACATCCCAGTGTGATGGTACATACTTGAGACTTTTGAGAGATAATTAGATGGGGTCTTTGGGAAGTAACTAGGTCACGAGGAGCGGTCCTCATGAATGGTATTGGTGCCCAGATAAGAGCATGGAAAGACCAGAGCTCTCTTTATTCTTCACCAAGCGAGACCACAGCAAGAAGACTGCTATCTACAAACTAGGAAGCAGGCCCTTACCGGATGGGATCTGCTGGCGCCTTGGCCTTTGACTTTGCAGTCTTCAGAACTGTGAGAAATCAGTTTGTTGTTGAAGCCGCCCAGTCTGATATTCTTTTAGAGCAGACTGAGCTAGGACAATTGGCCTGTGAGGAGTGTGAGCTTCAGGGCTGCTCTCTAACATAAGACCCAAACATCCTGTTTGTACCTTCCACCGAGATCCTGCCCTCTGGGATCATGATCCAATTGAGCTTGTCTGGTTCAGAACTCCTTTTTAGAGTAGGCTGGAAGGGAGGGGAGCCTTATACTCCCAGAAGTTTCAGTGTTCAACTGGGAAAAGCTTGACATTGGGGTCTGGCACATCTGCGTTCAAGTTTTGGCCTTGTGTCTCTAGCTTTAGTTCCTTTACCTATAGTATGGTGCTTATAATTCCAATTTCCTAGGATTATTATGAAAAACAAACAAAATATGAAGTGTCTAATGAGTTTTCCACTGTTTTTTCATATTTATACACTTGATTAATTCAGTTTTTATTGATCACTTGTGTTTCAGACACAGTTCTCTACGTCACAAATCACTGGGGTAGAGGTGACAAATACCATGACACAGAGCCTGGCACTTGGTTGTCACTTCACACATCCTCACTTCTCTCATTTGCTTCATTCACTTACTAAGGTAGCCAGATCCTGTGCTAGGTTTTTGTAGTATAAAGATAAAAAGGTGCAATCCACGTAGAGCTCAATCTGTGGTGAAGGGAAACAAGCCAAGGAGTTGTGTCCTGTGAGAGGTGTGTAACAGTCTCCTGGCCTGCTGCTATGGGAGCTGCGTGGAGCACTTGTGTGTCTGCTTGGGAAAGTTGGGGAAGGATGAACAAAAGGAGAAAGGAATCTGCGGCAGCGGAACAGCAGGTACATAGGTCTTTGAGGAAGTGGATGTCCAGGGGAGCAGTGGGCGACAGTGACTGGACAGGCGAGGGGTGCCAGCTTACAAAGAGCCTGTTATGCCAGACTGGGATTTGAAGTCAGTTTTGATGGAGAAGATGGGAAGACAATTTGTAGTTAAGAATTAACATCTGGGTTGGCTTTATTCTTATTTTAAGTCTACCTTTAAAAAAAAAATCCTTTTCTTTGCCTGTAGCATTTCCC